GTGTTTGTCAAGCAATTTTTCATCCCTGATTTCCAATCTTCCCCTTAAATCGTAGCTTCGTCCCTTTAACCCTTGTGCAGGTGACTTGCTATTTCTGTATTCACTTTTTTACCTCCATTCTTTGAACATTTTTACGTCGATTATATTTTCAAAGTAACACGCTTAGATCTGTTTCCATTTCTCGACCGGCCCTCGTGAAATTGAACAAAGACATATTCGCCGAGGGTGACAGGTGAAAATCTTCGTGACCTGGGCAGGTAAACTCGTCTGCTCGTTACACATGTAAGATATAAGGACTTAGCCGAATCTCCAGCAGTCACCGTGAACCGTGTACATGAATCACTTACACGCTAGAAGCGACGCTTTTTATAAACGACCTTTTTTCCCCCTAGCTTTACGGCGTACGAAGGTCGTGGCAGATGTAGCCGTGGCCGGTGTTGGAAAAAATATTCGCCAGGTAACGACGTGGGTGTACATTCGTCACGCGACTCGCGTGCCGCTGTTACCGGGAAGTAGAACCGTGTAAAACGTCGGTTCATTAGAAGATTTCACTCGTGCACCGAGTTTAGCCGCCTTATACCTTTAATAAACCACCGTATTCCCTTGTATACGGCGTAACGAAGGGCGGAAATTTTCCTCGATTTTGTTCTGCACCCACCTTTCCCTGCCTCAGTTGCCAGTTTACTTTCCTGGTTCGCGTATAACCAACGCTGGTTAAACCGTAGCTCATTTAGATCCTCGTATCTACCCCTCTCTGTCTTATCAACCATCTTTGCATTTTTCACGATATTCTCAAACATTTCCAAGTCTATATATGTTTTTTTTACTTTTTTAAGCAAACTTAGCGGCTCATAATTTTATTACAACCCTTCAACGAAGCACCAAATGGCCAATGTTTATTTATACCCGTTTATGGTCGGACACAAATGGCTAATTTATCAGGAAAAGAGAAATAGAAGGAGGAGGAGGAGAAATATTTTATAAGCTCGCATATAGAACGCTCGAAAACTTGTACATGCAAATGCACTGGAACTCGTCGTCCCCTTTGCCACGCTATCTCTACCTTTTCTCTTCGCTGTTTTCTCTCTCTCTTTTTTTATATTTTTTATCGATAGGATCTCGTCGCGAGTTGCACGAACAGAATGGAAATTAGGTTTCGGTACAAGAGTACAGACCTTTCGCTCTTCTCCGCTCTTATTTTTTGCTATCCTCGAAATACGGAATACGTGCGTCCGATACGCTGGTATTATCATTCCTCGACAACTATTACGCGACACGACTCGGATGGGTATCTACCCTACGTGCATTCGCTTCGAAATTTACCTGAAAGAGCGAGGAACTTCAGCCTCCGGCTATTTAGCTTGAATTGGCTCGTTTGATCGTTCGAAGAATTTAATTACTAATTGATTCTACGCGTTGCTGTTATCTTGAGGTAACAAATTTGTCGTTCCCTTTGTTCGTGCCTCGAACATCCCCAGAGAACGACGTTTGTCCTTTCTAAGCCTAGCTTAGCTCCGAGACGAGCAGAAGAGGCGCGGATCATCCCCATACGCCACGCAACATAGCTTCTTCGAAGGGTGTCGAGGAGGGTAAAGAAAAGCTCGTTTTGGTAACGTCGCGTGTTTTTCTTTCGTCTCCCGCGTTGATCTCTCGATTTACGCGTTCGGATAGCTCCACGTGGATCGGGAACGGATTCAATTAAGCGAACGTGTCCCCTTTGAACCCCGATCTCGTCGATACGACGCGTTCGTTTTCTCTTCTTTCGAAGGAAAGGAAACGCGATGTTCCGTATGGCAATCGAATAATCGGTTAACTTATATCCAACTGAATCGTTCTGCAGAGGAACTTTTTGCTTGCTCCGCAATCCGGTCTCGCCAGAAGATACGTAGCGAGACAAGCTTGGAGTTCACTCGGTTGAGAAAACTTTCAGAGACCTTGCCTTTCGTTCTATCAGACCGTTCCAGAAGTCTTTGACAATTTAATTAAATCTCACTTTCCATTGTGTTTCGTGCGTCTGGGCGAGGATGGCACAATGTATTATACGTTCTAGAGTAAGATAAGGGTAGACGATGATATGAAATTCCACGATACTGCGACGCACCTCGTTGGAGAAGTTGAGACGCAGAGGAGTGCACATTCGTCAGGGCCAAGCGAAATCTGTGTTGTCGTAACAGCTGGCCAAGAAGCGTCGATTACCGGCTGTTAAGGGAACTGGTGCGGCAAACGAGGGAGATATATCTACCAGGCTCGATTACACCAGAGCGCCAATTGAAAGATTACGGCTGATTGGCCGGTCGTCCAGCGGTAAACGGAAGTCATCCAGTGTCAATGGCCAGTCATCGGTTCGTCGTCGAGTGCTTTTTCGCTTGCGCCGCCACGGCTTCCGTTTCCGTTCATTTACTTAAACGCCGCGACGACGATACCGTTGCTCGCTCGAAATTGATCAAACTCTTTTATCCTTTCATTTATGTACCTCCACGTTCTTCTACAGAAGAATGATCAATCGCCGGCAAAGAGCGTAGAGAAATTTTAGCCGGTCGGTAATCCTCTGGAAAATCGTGGACGAGATCACGTTCCTGCCGGATTACACGAGTTATCGAGCGTACACGAAATGTTCGCGATGATCGGCAGCGACCGTCGAATTGGAACGAGGAACTCTCTTATCGAAGCCACCTTTTATTCCCCTGTACAAGGGGTGATCGATCACGGTTATCCGTGAGATCTATAAATGCCATAAAAGATCGCATTTATCGGTGAATCGTTTAATTCATCCTCGCCGCTTGATAAATTACGATCGTTCGACTTTTTTGCGACTGAAAATCGAACGAGAAAAAGTATCGAAGATAACTCTGTCTAATTTGTCCCAGTCGAACCGTACTTATCGTGATATTCCTTCGTGTACTTTTTTTTAAACGACGCGATTCTTTGAAAAAAATCCTGGAATCGACAGAGACTCGCGTTTCGAAACGGAATTCGGTGGTCCGAGCCAAACACACGCTGGACGATTGGAACGTTAATGGGTTTGCGGCAACAACGAGGCTGCGATATCGTCGGGAACCATGCACGGTGTTCTACACGGGACCAAGCTAATGGGATATCATCGACATCCGAACAAGCCTATCGCGAGCTTGCGGAGAACAACGGAAACGTTCTCCGCAAAATACGCTTCCGTTCGATAGGAAATTTCAAATGTAGGACAATGTACGTCTCGCTTGCATACAATTTCCTCCTGGAATCGAATGCTTCTAAATAAGCCTTTCGACTGATACGGCTGCTTCCAGCTCTTTAAGGGGTTACGCCTAGTTGGGATCGGGAAAATGACAAAATTTATTAATAAATATTTACTATGAAGTGAAATATACCATCGAAAAATACATGTTTCAACGAGGGAACGCCCTTTTCTCTAGATCACTTGCGGTGGACACGATATCTTCCAAACCGCTTATTTGAAATCAAACCAAAGAAGATTGAGTTAGCATATTGTATCGTTAAGGGCCTGAACGAAGTATTTTTAATTCAGTTGAGAAATTTTTTTTCTGATCAAAAACCAGATTTTTCAGGAAAATTGTTTTCATTTTGGTGAAAATTAAAATCTCGCAAAACCCTTCGTTCAGGCCCTTAACAGTACAATATACTAACTCAATCTTCTTTGGTTTTGATTTCAAATACGCGGTTTGGAAGGTATCGTGGCCACCGCAAATAATCTTGAGAAAAGGGCGTTCCCTCATTATTTAACATTTTACTTTTAAAAAAATTTTTAAACTACTTTAAAACATGTATTTTTCAATGATATATTTCACTTCATAGTAAATATTTATTAGAACGGCAAAAAGAAATCTTGAAATTTACGTCATTTTCCCGATCCCAACTAGGCGTAACCCCTTAACCCTTTTTTCGTATTACCAGGAGAGAAGAGTTAATTCAGTTTCCATGTACTGTCCAAAGTTCCGATCGATTCAGAATTTAATATTCTAATTGAGTAGGCATCACCAACCGCGTTCCATCGCCAACTTTCGACGAGTACATAGTTGGAAACGAGGCTGATTCGAAGCAAACACAAGTCGGAAATCATAAGTTTGGACACGGTACGTCGAAAACTGAAAGCGCCCGCGCTCAACTACAAGATCGTACGTTTATTACTAGCGAGAAAGCTTCATAATTTTCGAGCCGCAGATGAAATTTTAGAATCGCGTTTCTGTTTGTTTCCACCAGCGAAACTCTCTTTTCAACTCTACGCTTGTCGTTTCAGTTTGATAACTTAAACAGCTGTGTAATATTTTTCTATCAAACATCAGCCTTTCACTTGACGCGCTTTAAACAATTTTTAATCGAAACGCGACACGGTTAACGTTGCATTCGTCAATCATTTGGCAATCGTTGCTCGTTCGAACGTTCAAACGATTTACCAATTTTTTTGTCGACGTGCAATACACCGTGTCTATATTTACCAGGGAAAAGTGTCATAAAGAGGAAACTAGAGAGAGACCGATAGAGAAGGAGAGAGGGGGATGGTTGTACAGAGGGGTTTGTGATTTCGTGGCCAGACCAGGGGCTGGAAACAGGGGCGAGCTTTCATCCGTGACCTGGGAGAATGTTTACCGCTACTTGATCAAAGGGGTTTCGATCCTCGAGCTATCGACGTTGCGGAATATAGCCCGGCCTCCGGTTGTTCTCGGTTTTTGTCTCGTTCACATCCTTCCGACGTCATCGTGACCGTCGGCGTCCGTCGTCGTCGTTGTAACACGTGTCAGGGCCGATAAACCTTGCATCGTCGTCGCGTATCGAACCTACACCACCGAACGAACCGCTCTTTTACATCGAAAACCAGACCCCCGACCGATGTTTGTTCTTGACTTTCAATATTTCTCTCCTGTTACTCGTATCTACCTTACCTACCATTCATCTCGCGAAGAACAGAAAAATGCTCTTTGTCGATTAACTTAAAATAGGAAACGTACTGGCAGACGTCTGTTCTTACACGAATCGGCGGTTTGTTTCAGATCAGCAAGAAGACAGTGTCGTCCGCCTAAGCCTGTCTAATGTAACCACCTTGGAAAGCTAAGATCGACGAGGCTATGAATATCGAGTAACCCGGCCGGTAGATGTCGTAGAATCTTGGTTAGAAATCGGCCGAGTTGCGGTTCCCGCGGGAAGATGAGAGGCCGGACGGGAATCGGTCGGAAGAAACGCGGCGTCGACGGATCGGCGACCTGACGAGAAGCTGGCAACGATCGAAGGGGACGATTAAAGCTTCGTTTGTGGAAAAAATGAACGAAAGCGCGGTCTATCTGCTCGGATCGGAAGAAGAGGCAATCGTACCGAGCAATCATTTGAACAGAAGCTTCTACAACGCGGTATATCCGGCACAGAATCGTACATACGAGGATCTGTGGAACTTGGCAACGGACAGAGCCGGTCTGGCGATACTCTTGTTCCTGTTCTCGGTAGCCACTGTGTTTGGTAACATGCTGGTAATCCTAGCTGTGGTCAGAGAGAGATATCTTCACACGGCTACCAATTACTTCGTCACGTCGTTGGCGTTCGCCGATTGTCTAGTCGGATTGGTGGTGATGCCGTTCAGCGCGATTTACGAGGTCCTGGAGAATCGTTGGTTGTTCACGACCGATTGGTGCGACGTATGGAGATCGTTGGACGTTCTATTCTCGACCGCCTCGATCCTCAATCTCTGCGTGATCAGTTTGGATCGTTATTGGGCGATCACCGATCCGTTCACTTATCCAAGTAGAATGAGCCGTAAAAGAGCGGCTATATTGATCGCGATCGTATGGATCTGTTCGAGCGCGATCTCGTTTCCAGCGATCGCTTGGTGGCGCGCGGTCCGAACCGAAGAGGTGCCGGAGGACAAATGCCCGTTCACCGAACACTTGGGTTACTTGATCTTCTCGTCGACCATCAGTTTCTATTTGCCGCTGTTCGTGATGGTTTTCACCTACTACAAGATCTACAGAGCGGCTGTGTTCCAGACCAAGAGCCTGAAGCTAGGCACCAAACAGGTGATAATGGCGTCCGGTGAACTGGAACTTACTCTGAGGATACATCGAGGAGGCGGTACGAACACGGATGCCAGGCATCTGTTCCGTACTGCCTCGAGCACACCGGAGGATCTACAAGATCTCGAGGAGCCTCTCACAGCCATGCACAATAACTGTCTGACCCGGGTGCCGTCCACGAGGATAACCAAACAACATCTGGGAAAAAACTTCTCGCTGTCGCGGAAACTGGCGAAATTCGCGAAGGAGAAGAAAGCCGCCAAGACGCTTGGCATCGTGATGGGCGTGTTCATCATATGTTGGCTACCGTTCTTCGTGGTGAATCTGTGGTCAGGATTCTGCTCCCAGTGTATATGGCAAGAGGAGATCGTGTTCGCGGCGGTTACGTGGCTCGGCTGGATCAACAGCGGAATGAATCCGGTGATTTACGCTTGTTGGAGCAGAGATTTTCGAAGGTGAGTACCGTTTCGTGAAATTTCATTGTCTTTCGTTACGGCGACGCCGAATTGCAAATTCGACTCGAAAACACAAATGGCGCTCGTAAACACGTTAGACGGAGAAATAATGATGAAATAAACGAAGAGTTAATGGAATTGCACGAGCGTATTCGGTGGAGATTGGAAAGGGGGTTGTTCGACACGGGCTTTAAGAGTGGTTAATAGGATGCTAGGATTTGATACGGTATGGGAAACCGAGTTTGTACGAGGCTATGGTAAAACTTTTACGAGCGAAAGTTTGCATTTAAGTTATTCGAACAGCGATGGGTATTCGACGCTATCCCCATAGGTTCATAGATTCGTTCAGCGGTTGCTGTTTCAAATAACAATTTGTACCGTAAACTTTAAAACTCTAAATTCATATTAATTCGCCGGGCAATTTAATCATGTTGAATGGTTAGAAAATAGCAGGGAGAAACACAATTCGAAACACGCGAGGATACACCAATAGCATCGTGGATAGTAATTGTCGGAACATGGTAACTCTACGGTCTCTAGGGTCCTATTAAATCGTTCTCAGGTGAAACCGAGTAATCTTAGACAAACGTTGTTCTGGCAACGAAGGATTAATTTCCCCGAAACAAGCTTCGCAACCGTACCTTAATATCCCATCGAAAATTATTCAAAGCCCGATCCGAGCAATTAGCAAGGAGTCCCCGTGAAATCGAGTCGGAATCAATTATCATTTTCCACCTGGCTAACATTTGATCAATATTTTTCTATCTCATCTTGGACGACACCGAACTAGCCAACAACCCGGCTGAAGGCTTCTCGTTTCGATTCGGACGCGTTCAAGCTGCAACGACAAATCACCGACGTAACTTCCGGTATGTTGGTCGTTCGTGTTTCGCGAACGGATGCACTGAATAATTGGTGACAAAGTTGCACGGGAAAGCGGAAGGTATGCAAATAACGCGATTTAATTACGCGTCGCTGCACACGTTCGCTGAGAGCAGCAGGAAAATGGAACGCGAAAAACTTTGAAAGAATCTATGATGTTCTAACGAGTTTCCCCGTCTAGCCTTTTAAAAAGCCTCGTCCAGCGAAATCACGAAGTTTGACTGATAACGCGTAACTCCAGTTAGAATTTACGTTCCGAAACTAGATTCTGTAGGAGAAAAAGTCAGACTCGTCACCTATCATACCGCAATTCGGAACTCCTATAATATTTGGACTGCGTGCCGGGCGACCGCTAGCGAGAACACTGATTCGCCGATCATCTCGACGCCACCTAGCGGTCCCCGAGCCGAACCAAAGGCGTCCGGGGAGACGAAACCCTCTCTCCCCCTTCACAAAACGCCTACGATTCCTTGAGAATTTTCACGCGACACGAACCAAAGTGATCGGTTTACCAGCAGGTTCCGAAAGCGAATGATTTTTCCCTATGCTTCCTTCCTTCTCTCCGAAAAGAACCCCGCCCCGTACGCGCATATTGCTAGATCGATCTCTCTGCCGTTTCATCAATCTCTTTTCCGGCTGCCCGCGGCAACGAGACACTCTCGAGAACTGATTTTTCAAAAAGTCGTTTCGCCCGAAAGAGACCGGCCAACGGCAGCCCCGTACACGATGCTCGGGACCGCGCTTCGCCGTAATTATGCTCGGTGAAAAATGACGACAACGTTCAACGATAAATAACGACGATACCTGCGACGAGAAAAACGGGCAGGGTGTAAAAGAAACGGAGAGGAAAACCGGGTTGAAGCGAATGAAAGAGGGAGAGAGACGAGGAAAAGAGTGACGCAGAATGCCGTGGCAAGAACATTAACTCAATGGACCGTACATGGCTTTATTTGTCTGAAACTCGACTTCCTTTCGTTACACCAGTCTTACGGAGAGAAAAAGCTACCGCTCTCCTGACTACTGCAAGACGTTAACAAACACTTTCCACTTTCCTTTCCTTTTTCTATTCAGAGCTTTCTTATATTCAATGTGCAGGTGCGAACGGAATTTCTTGAAAAGCTCAATCTTGACGGGCAATGTTTCTTCCCTTAAATTACGAATCGCTAATGAAACAGTGTCGTGTTTCATAGGTATCGGTGTTCGATAAACATATTTCATAGAGAAGGAAAATCAATGTAAAACACCTTAGTGGAATTAATTCTGGACACTTAGATTTTTATTTAAATTTCGCATTTATTCAAATTATTTAATATATTATCATTTATATTTTATATTCTAATCATTGTTTTCTACAGTCATACTTTTATTATACAATAAAAATTACAATTTCAACACATCAAAGGAGGTAGAAAAAAATTAATATTTCGTTGGATATCCTTTCACCCTGTGATTGGCTATTTCACAAGCGCAAAAACAAAAATAACAACATAGTTTAGATCTTTTTAAATTAAAATTTTAAAACATTTACAAACCAAATCATGTGAAAATATTAAGTATAAACATTATACAAAATATTACGGTATCAATTTAGTATAGCAGAATATACATTTACTGCATAAATATGAAATAAAGAATATTTTTATGCAAAGTGTCTAGAATTAATTCTTCTAGTGTAACAGCGTTCCCTGTCACTATCGTTCGGATGTTTTTCTCGGTTAATTGCGTCGCTCAAGTATCTTCCGAGAATCGAGTTTTCTTACCAAGAAAGTGTATAAAATATCCCGTGAAAATATCTATGCGAAGAATGGGCAGTAAATAGAATTTACGTCAAAAAACGGCGAACCAAGGGTGGAAAGGAAAGGAAAAGAAAGAACGGAAGATCAGGGGGCATTCGGTAAAAAACAGAACATATCTTCGATAAGACGCGCGGGAATGTTTATACGGGATAGAGAGGAGGTTTACGATTTAACCGTGTCCTGGATGTTATGGCTGTCGGAATAAGTTCGAGCGACGTAAAATCTTCTGGATAATTTACGGGAAACGTTGATTCCTTTTCCGGAAAGCTGTTTCTCCGTAACTGGAGAGGGAAAGCCGATTGCAAGAGTTGCGAATAATTTCAAAAGACATGTAAAAACTTTCGTTCAAAGCATTCGAGATGCGTTACTTTACGTAATTCCTCGACTTGGTTTTTTTTTGCTCATATGTAGACAAAATTTACTTGTGAGTAAATCGTACGATTAATCTTGTCGAATGATTTAAAGAGTTTTCGGGCACCGATTTATTACCGGCGTGAACGAATCGGTACCGGTCGATACTCGATAGGATCGACAATGTTGATTAACGAGAGCGAGGCAATTACGAACACTCGAAACGCCAGGAATGAGTTAGCATGCCTTGCGCGATACCGACGAGCCGAGATAAAGCATTTCCGCAAATATACAACGATATTAAACGTTCGAAAATGATGTTTCTCTGTCAACGGAATCCTGGTAAATTGTCACGCCGGTGTCCGCAGAAAGCCTGTAAGGATCCTCTATTTAATTTCAAAATGAAATTTCCTGGATCGCCGTGACGTTAATACGATTTCGGTGGGACATTTTCGTGTCAATTAAAGGACTCGCTTTCAGACTGTCGTGGATTCGGTAAAAGTACAATCGAATAATGAAACAGACAGTCGCGGTGGTTGAAAGTTTTTTCAGAGAACACTGTTGAAACTGGAAGAAGGACTAATTAGATTTCAAACAGTACAAAGTCTATTCTCTACCGGCCTCTTTTGTGTAGCTCAACCGAGGATCTTTTTATCTTTTTTTTTTTTTGTAAAACGTACAGCGTCCCTTGTTCCCCGCAAGCATTCTTATACGGATAAAAAGAGTTCTTTTAAAATCCTGCACGTCTAACCAAGAGAGACTTTAGCCTCTATATAAAATTTAACGATTACACTTCTTCACAGAGACGGGTCACAACGAAAGTAAATCGTCGAATAATAATGAGTCGGTTTAATGAAATTTGATCAACCTTATAACGAAAATACTTTTCGGTACAAAAGGTTAAATTACACCAGTAAATAGATTGGTTATTTCAATTGATATCGTAGCAGGTGTAGCCGGAATTGCAAAGTTCGAAGCCGGCTAGGTATCGATTTCGTGCCTCGTTTCGTAATCCCGAGCGAATAAATCGAGTTGCTTATTTGCTTTTTTTTCCATTCGCGTCGCGATGGAATTCTTTAGCCAGGAACAGCGCCTATAATTGCAGGCGAACGATAATAAATTCAAGACTCACCCAGTCACGCGAAGAATTCTGCATTAAGTCAAGGTTTTCGAGGCGAAACGGGCCGATCAAAGACGGGGACCACCTCTTTGAAATTGCTTCTTCTCGTCGTTGAATTCTCTCAACGGCTGCCTGCAATCAGATTCGAATAAATATGAGTAACGAAAAGTTTTCTATTCGATACGAGTATCGTTTGCAATTGAACACTTTTGTTCACGGTTAAAATGGAACTTGTTCGAGTTCAACGAAACACGATTCGCAATTCGTTCGCAACGAAAGCGTTCGAAGAAAACCGAGTCCTTCGTGAGCAAGAACCCTCGCATTTCCATTCGTTTTGCATGTCTGAGCGCGTTATGTACCGTGCTGGATCGTGTAAATCATCTCGCACGCGAAAACACCGGGAAAAGGTGAATCGTCGTGCGAAACAAACGACCGAAATAACGAACGTTAAATTACTTTCCTGCGAACGAACGCGATTTAAAGAAGCGCGAATCAAAGAGAAACCGCGTTCTCCTTCGAAAGAATCCTTTTCCCGTGGGTGCATTGTGTTGGAAATTTTATCTATCCATCGTCTTTCATAAGATATACGAGAATCTGACCGTCGACTATAACCATATTTCTTCAACGGACAGCCACGAACGTTCGTGCGAAACCTTTCGCACCAGAAACAGAAAGCAATAATTGTTTTTAAATAGAAAATATTATGCAACCCGTTCTGTTCGAATTATAAAAGAACTCCTTCGTTGGATCGGTATGCAAAGGAGGAGGATTTCAATTCGCGGTGAAAAATCGTCGAAAATAAAAGAGAATCGTGATGCGACAAAAAAACCACCAAGAGGGGGTGTGTATAA